TGGGGGTGAAGTCAATACCACCTCTTTTTTCCAGCGACAACGGTAAGGAGAAGCGCAGAAAACTCGTGAAAGAATCATTAAGAAACCGTGACGGTAGCTCTGATTGAAGATAAAGTAGGTAAAAAAGTTCAAAGCGCCATTACAGTGTACTAAATACTGAGTTACAAAGCGAAAGTTTTTAGAAAGACAAAGTGAACCTACGGGACCGAAGAGATCAATTGATAGATACACTACAAACGGTGACATTGAAAAGAAAAATACCACCACAATTGCCAAAGACATCTTAAGTACATTGCGATTTCTCTTTTCGCGGCGGCTAAAGTGGACCACTAAATTCCTTACCCCATAAAGTGTCTGCTTTCTCAGCTTTTGAACTATTAAACCATAGAAAGTTGTTATCAGAATCAGCGGTACCACATAAATTAATGTTATCAGCAGTAAAAAAACGATTTTCGCAAAATCTGGGGACCAACCCAGAAAACAGTATGTTTTGCCGTCGTTAAAAGTGCGAATCTGGAATCCGTAGAGATATGGGGCGTGAATAACTGTTGATATCAACCAGATGAGCAATATAACGTATTTCACTTTAGGTTTGATTCGCGCAGCTTTTAGTGGAAACCAAACAGCATAGAAACGGTCCACCGCGATCGCCACCAAGGTCTGAACGGAAACCAGCGTAGAAATGTCTTGAAAGAATGCCGTGAGTTTACAAAGTACTTCTCCGAGAACGCCGTCGATGAGCCATCGGAGATTTCCGAAGATTATCTCGACGTTAGCCCGAGGCATGGCGAATATTGGAACTAGGAGGTCGGAAACGGCCATATTTACGATGAGTAAGTTTGTAGTGGTTTTCATTTTGTCGTCCCGATAAACTACCATGATGATCAAAGTGTTTCCAATAAGTGACACCACAAGGAGCAAGCAGTAGGCAAACGTCTTACAGATTTTAGCTGCCGCAGGATCCTCTATTAAGATGCAGGATGACACGTCGTTCCCGCCAGTAGTATTGTTTACATTCATTCCGGAGACTGTTGTAGAGCCTTCACCGAATAACCGAGTGATGTGGCAACTTTGATATCTTTCTAATGAAAACCACAACAACTGAATTAGTTTCGCAGAGTGTTAAAGGCAGATGACAGAGTGTTAACGTATTGAAGTATTCGATTCAACTCTACTTTGTGGGATGGCTGGAAGAAACTTGAATTTAAAGTTTTATAATAGGACAAAGGAAAGAAATGAACAAGCGACGTCATCTTTCGTCTCTCTTGAATAATTCATCCTAAATTTTTGAAGGTTGTCATTTGGAATCTGCTTAAATGTCTTTTATCTCGTAAATTACCTTAGTTACTATTTGGTTAAATTTTACCTTTACCTTTTAAATGCTTTTCCACACTACCCCGCTATTGTTTTGAAGTATCCTTCCAGTTCTTCTAAGCAATAAAAGTGCTCCTATTTCTTTAAAATTTCAATTTTCCAGTAAGACGTTTGATCGCAAAAATGCAAGGTTGGATCTTCAGCATTCGTGACGGAACGCGAAATTATCAAAACTGACCAAATCAAAACGGTAAACGGTCATTTGAACTTAGGAATGATCATATTAAGCCAGGAGCCTGCGGAGCCAATTTCCTTTTCCGTGACTCGTTACTGTCATTATAGTCAGTACGTGCTCCAAACATACTTCAGGCCGAAACATTGAATTGTTTTTAATGTTAGTTCAGGCTGTGTTTACATTGCAACTCGTTTACTTAGATATGACTTAAATAACTTTTTTGTTCTTTTATGTCAGCTAAGACTTGAAAACACAGTTTGGTTTGCGGCACGGAAAGGTCAGCGGAAAAGGTGATAGTTTAATTGACGCCATTTAAACGTGAACGAAAACGGGTAATAGCATAACTTGGTAATTTTGCCTTTTTTATGGAACATGTTGGAATCTAATGTCAAAGACGTTTATCCGGCCGGAAATAAACGGCCTTAAAGGGTTAAGGAACTTTACAACTCAATCTGTTCAAATCAATTCGCTCTCAAAAGCAATGACCTGTAGAGAGAAAGATTCGCTTAATCGCGTAATACCATTCAAGTATTGATTTGAAATATTCCAAATATTTAGTTTTGTTTGTACTAGCCTATACGGCGATAATTCGTTTGTTCATGTACACGTTTCTTGGTCTTAGCTCTTCCAAATTAGTTATCAGAGCCTCTCTCGGACGCTTTCGTTTTTTAATGCTTCCGCTCGATAAGGAAAGGCAAAGGGAAACTGGACAGAACACCAAGTCAATTTGATTTAAGTGATATGTCTTTGGTTTTATTAATGAAAGGAGCCCTCGACGGTGTAAATTCATAAAGGTGCATGTTCTACGATCTTTTGCGGATAAATCTTCGAAGTGTTTTCAACCAAAGGACCCTGTCTAAAACCAGGCAATATTTTTAGTTTTAGCTCCAGGCACAACGTTTTCTTTCTAGCCACATTTCTGTTTTTGAATTAGCAGCCATAACAATGGAATGGCAAACCTTCAAATTAACGAAGCTTTCCCGTCGCAAGTTAAGAAGATTGTTTCTGATTTAAAAGCTGTCAAATGTTTATCAACCTTTGGCACCAGTGCCGCATGATGATCGTCTACGCGACTTCATAAAGATTTTTGGAATTTTTTTCTCAATCCTTGATCATCAGAGATTGATATGATATCATATGGAATATGACCAAAGCCCTCGCCCGCAAAACCGAGATTACTATGATTGTAAAATTGCATCAAGATGTTACTACAATTACGGTCGGTAGGGTTGTCTACACTCAAAAGCTATTTCAAAGCTCCATGCATACAAACTAGCTGTGGTGTATTCTTCTTTAGAATAAAAACAACTTCAAAAACATATCCAGAGAGTAAGGGTGGCTTGAATTTGAAGGGAGAATTAGCGCACAGTTACTGTAGGAAATGCCTAAGTTCTTTTTTATATAAATATAGCCTGGCTGAATTTGTTTTGAAGATGCAGAAGAACCCCGCCAAGCAGAACTGTCAAGGAAAACGTAAAACAGCTTTGGACACCGTAGAGTTCCAGTTTGCTGATACGACTAATTGTAAATTACTGAAAAGCGTACTTGAAGGGTAGTAGAGTAATTAAATTTTAGCGGAAAGTTCGAGTTGAAACCAGATCGCCAAGCTTGAATTCGTGAGGCTCCAGTGCTGGGCAAAGTAAAACAAAAGTAGCCGAAACACTAGCCTACCTTTCTTCTCTGGAACGACGCAATTCTCGTAAACGAGGTAGCGGAAACAATCACATACGTGTCCGAAGGGAAGTCGCCGAAGAAGTCAAACAACCCTGACCCTAACCCTATGAAGCCTGCCTTGGTTATTGGTCAGATAAATTGGCGTCGTCGTTACTTCAATCTCACTGATAGTGAAAAAAGGGACTACTTTTAAATCGATCTGGAACGACTCAAGATGACGCAAAAACCGTCAACAGCTTGACTCCATCTGTCCACATGTAGATCCAAACCAAACCAATACATTTACATTGGGCTGAGGTGCATTGACCTTTACGGAGAAAGGCAATTTACTAAATGTTTATCGGTTAATTGTTTTGAGTGTCAGTCGTTAAGCCTTGCTATATTAAACTGTCAAAATATCGCAATCATACGCCAAACACAACCATAGTTTCTTTCGTTTACAAAGTGTTAATAGATGGAAAATTTAATTAAACTGACTCCAAAACGAATAAAAACCAGCAGTATACCTATGGGACATGATTGTTGCCATGGAGGCTTTGATTCATTCACGTGTGGGGCGACTTGTTCCTGTCTGTCTGAAATGAAGTTCATCCATTTATCGACAAACTTCTTCCATTTAATTTTTCATAGTGTAATATGGAAACCAAAACGTCTTCGTTGAAACTTGTAGTGATTAAAATTACCAAATAACAAGTTCTTAAAAACCAAATATCATAGGAAAAATACCAGAAATGATTTTAAATTAGATAGTAGAACTTCTACGTGGAGTGTAACACAAAGCAGATTTGCTGCGTCTTTACGTGTATATGACGCAATGAAACCTTTTATTTCCGTAAATATATGTATATATATAAATATATATATATATAAAATGTCATTCTTCATTTAACAACACTAAAGAACTAATCAATTTCGGCGTCCCTGAATGGATAAATGGCACCAATTATCTTTGCGGAGGGAACTTCTGTTTACCTTACAAACTTTCATATGCGGACCAAAACAAACTCTTTTTACCATGCTTCTCGAGTTTCTTACATTGCTGATAAGAGATGAAATCAGCACTAAAATTCAAGTGGAAACCTATTTCAAAGTGAAGATACGAGTCCTCAAGCGATCACTCGCGCAAAAAAATACAGTTTGCTCATCATTCTGTTCATTGAATACGGAGTAGTATACAGCGAGGACTGGGGAGAAAGAGGAAGCCAAAGTTCTCTATTTTTCCTAAATGGGTTTGTGCGAGGGATTATAAACTGATAATCTCTCGGTTTGTGCTATTGAACAGGTTATGGTATTTTTTATGGTCTTTCACAGGATTTGTATTTTCATTATATAGGGGTTTCAACGTTATTAGAGCGCGCTGGGCGTGTTATACTATCATTATTCAAAATAAAAATTGAAATAAGTAAAAAATGAAGCAAGATAAGAAACACAGAAAAAAAAACCCTTAACGCTAACTATCCTGTTTTAACATGTATGATTATGTATGAGTTAAATTAATGTATGATTACATTACACGTACCTCTTCAAGACCTAAATGCCATAATTTACACATTTTTTCTCCCAAACAGAGATGCGAAATGAATAAATCAAGGTTCGCATCACCCCACTGAAACCTTCGTACTTCCAACCTCCAACTGAAGCAAAATGTGTACGCCACACTGTAACAATATCTTCCAACCGAAAGCCAAACTTTTAGCTATTTACAATACCGAGAACATACACGAGCCCGTCAGAAGCTGTTTCACACACGTTGAATAAAAACTAATGACACTGATTGGAGGCAAATAAAAATCTTTAATTTCTTATACCTTATACCTTCTGATATCAAAGTAAATCTTAACCAGCACGGTTGTCTGTAAAATCCTTTATAAATAGACTGCCAGTATAGACAGAATAGGGACCCTAATCTCGCAGTATTATCGAGGATCATTGTTATAAAAGGACCGGAAAGGGCAGTTTTTGGATTGGCAAGATGTTTTGTATCAAAGGCTGCAAAAGATTGCTTTTTTCCCCTAAAAAATGGGATAGGGTTTATTTGGCAAAAAACGCCACTTCTGCAGTTTCATCATGATACATGGTGAAAGTTAGACGACACAAATATCTCTAGAACTCGGAATTTTCATAAATTTCGGTAATTGTTAGAAGAGTGAAGAGATAATAGTCTATAATCTCTAGAAGGAGTGGAATAGCTTTTATAGTATTCCGCGCAGAGGTATATACATTATTTTAACCTTTTCCCTCCTTGGATTTATAGACCCATTCTTTCAGCTGAAAATGATATATTTTTCTGTTAACTCGTCTGAATAATTTGAGGTTCGATCACCAAAGTGTCACCCGATTGATGAATTTCTTGATTCTCATGAAGTGTGTACTTGACAGTGTTTTAAAAATTGTAAGGAGAGCTGGCATAATGATCAATCCTGGAAGTCAAAGATAGCTCCTTTAATCTGAATCTTTCGACGAAAACGTCCACGGTTGCGGTAACTCGCCCGCGAACTACGCGAAATTTAAGCCCAAAATAAAAAGCTATCGTAGAATGATTTTTTTCGAATTATTCTTTTACGTCTTCACAAATCGCCAGACAGCTAGGAAAAGCGTCACACAAGACAGTAAACTTCCTGTTGACAAAAAACAAAACAGACGTAAATGTGTGATCGAAAACACTTGAAACACAACCAACTGTGACCACGTAGGCTTTTCACCAGCTAACGTGTTGTCAGCTTGAGTGACTAGAGCCCAGTTGAGGATAAGCTCGTTCACATTTTCAACATGTGAAATCTCTGCTATATAAATACATCCAGCTTGAAAAACACTATAGCTCTCGGGCGGAATACAACCGTACAGTCAATTGCACCCCCCACCCCCCACCTCTCTCCTACCCCTCTAGATATCGACCCACCAGTTCACAAACGTATCACTTGGGCAAATATCTCAAAACAAACAGTTGTCTCTCATTCTCTAGTCACGGTCATCTAGTCTTAGGGAGCTGACGAATGCGCGAATTTCTTCATAACATCGAGTCATGGTGACCTCCAATATAATTATTCCACAAAAAGCGTCTGTAAATTCGCAGTTGCAGTGAAAACAAACCATTTTTAAACACCGCCAAATGATCGCCTGAGAGATGCCACCCATGCCCTTGAGTAGGGCGATGTTATGAGAATTCGACGCCGCGAGAAAAGTCGTCGGTACGTGAGCACCCAGTTTTTTCGTAGCAAAACAACTGCAAAACAGCGAATAACCAACGAGGATAATATTGGCTTCTTACCGACAATGTACTTGATTAAATCCAGCTTCTGCGCTTCAAGTTGTGTCCCCAGTTTGGCTACCTAGATTAATCACAAACCAGTATATCAAGCAAAGCTAAATAGAACAGTTTTTTTTTTTTCGAAAACCAAAACCAGAGTTATCCGATAAGAACAGAGGTTTACACTATCATTCGCAAATGAAACCTCAAAGTGAAAACAAGAAAACTGCTTGATGCGCGGGAATTGTTTTTAGTTTTGCATCTGATTGATTGAGAGGATAGCTCGTGTTTTCTGGACCAATCACTGAGCAAGGTTTAGTAAAACCAAAGCGATCCCAATTACTTTTAATCCAATCGGATTACTTTCGACACTCAATTGAAAATTGTTCCATCTGTTACCAACGCGCAACATTACAATAAGAAATAATAGCAGACGTTCTCAGCCAGCCTTACCTCAGTCTCTATTCTGTTTTCTGTGTCCTTAATTTTCTGGTCTCGTTGTGCAAGCTGAAATGAAGCAGTTCAGAAGAATTGAGACGCTTATGAGTAGACTCGAAGTAATTCGCACAGGGACGCAAATTTACTTTAAACGTTCAACTGGAACCAAACACAAGGCAAGTGCAGAAGTGTTTCAGAGCAAACCTCTTCTTTGATACGACTCTTTTCCAGGCTGAAATCTAGTGCCATTCCGCCTCGGAGTTTTGCCACCTCGTCCTAGAAGGGGCAACATCATCAGATGCAGAACTTGATTTATGTCATTGAAATCCAAGATATTGACTATAATGAGAAGTTGTAAAAAATCATTGATGCTGTTTCTACCTGTAAAATTCCTTTGAGGGATTTAACTTCGTCTCTTAGTTTCTAATAAACAAGAAAAAGAAAAATAGCAAATTCAGTTCAATATCAACCATCTTTCACAAACATTTGACCACGAGCAGTCCATATTTTCTATCAGAGCCACAAAGGCGCGTGGCGTGAGGAAGGAAGTAATTTTTAGCCAGAACTCTGTTTGAAATGCGGTGTATTGTATTCCGATGGCACGTATTCCTCGTGTGATTTCTGCGAGCCAAAGCATGTTACTGCGTTTTGGAGATCCCTTGGACGAGCGGCAAAACAGCGCGGAAAATGGCCTTCGCTGATTTGTTTGGTATCGCAAGACGAATCGCGTCGGAAAAGGGGACTTCTCGTATTCTAAACAGACATTATAATTTTTCTATCAACTGAGTTGAGACGCTGAGTTGGCCGCCGTAAAGAGATTCTAAAGCTCACGTTTCAAGCGTTGACTAAACGCGATTCGCTTTGACGAGGGGCTAACGATGGAAGCGCCAGCTTCAGAAACCCTTTACGGTGACCAATTAACACTATCAACTTAGTTGATAAAACCAAATTATTTCGCAATACCCTCAACCGACGCAGCACCACAGTTTCTCTGGAAACTTACCCCCTTTAAACAGACTTGATTGAGTTGAAAGTGTACACTGATAATCTGATGACAAATGCAGTAGCTTCTCCTATTGATTACTACGAACTATTAAATCTCACTTTTTCCAATTTGTACCTGGTTTTCCTCTTGAATACGAGCAAATTTTCCTTGTTCGAGAAGGAACATCTCATTTCTGAGGGGAAATAAAGAGTTTAACATCATTCACCTAAAATCCACTTACCAGTAATACAACAAACGAACAAAGAGACAATACACCTGAGATGCTATATGATATAAGCAATGCGTATTAAGGAAAAAAGTGCTTATACCTGACTGAATCAACCAGGCCTTTAAATTTGACTTCAAGCCTTTCCTGGAAATGAAAAGAACACAATATTACAGAACCACAGCTATTCATTAGTATTGCATCCACAAAATGGAATAAGACTCAAGCAAATAGATTTAAAGCCCAGAAGAATGTGAACTTCAACAAAGTTTTTTTCTGGTCTGAGTACTGAAAGGGAAAAGAATAAAATTGAGGTTTATCTTTTTTCTTTAGGAGACCCAATTTCACAATTCCGATTTGGATATCACATCCAAAAAGCCTTCTTATGCATAACTTCAGTAATTATGACTGGTGTTCCTTTCCTTGAAGATGAGGATGTCACATACTGAATGAGGAACAAAGCTCTATCGTTATGGACAGAACAACTAGTAATTTGCTGATGTTTTAGGTGATCAAATCCTTTACACCCTAACATCAGCATGAATATTCTCCATACTGTTCTCTGTACATTTTCTTATTCTGGGATGATATTGTAAGGAGAAATTAGATGCAAGTCACTCTTTGAGGTGAAAGAGTTAATGCAAGAAGTAGCTACTATCAAGTGGCCTGAGGGAATACTCAATTTGTGCCCCCCCTCATGAGAAAACTGATGCCCTCAAAAATGAGAATGAGTCACACAAACAGTTCTTATGTTGCAACCAAACCATACTCACCTGATCAATCTTTGACACAGTGCTATTTGTTACACTAAGAACACTTGATGTAATTATATCCACCAAAGATGTTGTCAAGCTCTCAGCTTGTGCCTCTGTAAATCCTGAAAGAACATGTTTAAAGAGAAAATTAAAGGAAAAACATTTATATATAAAGTAAAATAGCCTGCGGGTAGGCTAGGCTCATATAAGCTGTAACAGGAGTGGCTAGAAAAAAAAAAACAAGAAATGATGGCAGAGAGGGTCTTAGCTTTTGTGTCAGGCTCCTAGCAGGCCCAGCTGGCAACTTTGCTTTTTGCACCATAACCCTTGTGATAGGCTTCTTACAAGCCAGCCACAAAGTGTCTTCCACAATGGTAACTGCTTGAAAGAATAATTGCCACCCTACATATCATAATATCATACAATTTACAGTCAATTGCTACCTATAATTTCTTCAAAGCTATACATCAGAGAGCAAATTAAGTCATCTTCCAACACTTTAATTTTTATTAGTCTTGACGAGATTTTCCATAAACCCTAACAGATAATAAGCCCATACCATTTGTAGCACATTCTCTGGTGGCTTTTCCCTTGCCCCTTGCAAGGCTACTCTCCCAATCTTCAAGGAGCCTTGCCACACCCTACACTCATTAGCAAGCCAATACATATCATGTAAAGCTACAATTCCTATAGGTAGCAACCAGTAGATCATCAACTGTATAACACAACAACTATAAAACACTACCATTTGCTCTGATAAAGGGCTAGTACTTGAAACATCTGCAACTCTTTATGGTGGGCAATTTACACAATCAAATCAGTTGATAATACTAAATTACCCTATATAAAATGACCACATACTTCTAGCTATTATCATTCATGATATCACAATTGAGCAAAAATGAAAAGTTAATTTAATGCAGAGTGTCATCATTAATAACATCATAGATTCCTACAAAAAGAGCATGCATTGCTTAACATTTGGCAAGTGTAATTGACTGATCAACTAACCATTCTCCTGGAGTCTTCTGACCAGCCTGTGAGTATCAAAATGAAAACTAACCCCGCTGGGTGTGATGTATGAAGAGTTTGAACTCGATCTTTTCCAGCAGCCCTTGCCTGCAATAAAAGAGCATTAACCTTAAGCTCCCAAGATCAAATAAGTAATTCTCCCTGCTGAGTGTCATTCTGATCATTAAATGCTGTGGTTTGACCTTTGCTAAAAGTAAAAGGAGAATATGTTGTCTGGGGAAATCATGAACCCAGTGGAGCAAGAGCACTGAACAGCACAATTATAAGTCTAGAATGTACTACTGGTCCTTTAAAATACTTTCCAGCTTCCCAGTGAATGATACCCCACTCCAAACCAGATCCTGCTTATCTATATTCCCTCTCCTATCCTCCCTGGCTGCAAATATCATCACACAGCCCCAAAGACCTCTGGGGTGGGGAAGAAAATTATATTGCTTGCCAATGAACAAATTCAGACAAAGCTGAGGGAGGCTGATGGTTTAGTTTGACAGTGATTACATAGATGCAGTACCACCGGTTTAAACAAGTTCACGTACTTTGGTCACGTAAAAGCCTTATGGGAAGCACGCGATGGAAAATCAACCGCGTATTACCTTGGAGGTCACAATTTGCCGGATGAAAATGATTTCTTATAAAGGGAACTTAGAATTAAATATAGGGAGGATTCCTCCTTCAGATTTATCTACTGTACTTACCATTACGTTCTTTTAGTCCGTGGAAACAAAGAGAAGAACATCTTGGTGCTGATAACGATAACAATCCTATTTTTAAAAAATCAGCTGCGGTCGAGAACATCTTAGAAGTTTGCATCAAATTGGTCTTTCCACCGATATTGTTAATATTAGTTACACAGTGACAGGAACGAAGTAAATTGAAATAGCTGGCTAGAAAAACCTGATTGCTTTTGAACATATTTAAAGATGTAGTTTCTAAAAATCTCCACTGTTGAATTATTTAATGTTTTGGCGGCGTCCTTCTTGAACGACTGAAATAACTCTTACATACTATGAAACATCTCATGTGATGCTTCCGCTGATCAGATGTTCTGACGGCTTCGCCCATTTGCGTTTGCAAAATAATGTAAGATTTGGTTAGACCACAAAGTACCCCTTAGTACATTTTTCAAATTTTGAAGGCCTTTTTGTCCAAACATCGATAACTGTAAAACCGACGACGACAGTAAAAAGAAGGACTAAAGTAAAAGTATACTCTTTTTCTCAATACAGTGTACAAATAAGTATTCTAGGATATATCAAATACCATGAAATTGAAAATACTGAGAAAACTGATTTATATCAATTTATTTTATTTTTGTGGAAGGGTAAGGTTGAAAAGGTTTTAGGACAAACTGTCTTTTCATTTTTTTTTTCTTTTTTGGTTTTACAACTCAATCAGCCATTAATATCTGATTGGTAATTACTAAATAACACAAGTTAACAAATAGAAATATGCAGAATACATACATATATATATATATATATACATATACATATATGCATATGAGAAAAAATTAGACTTTGAGAGGCACAAATATTATATACTTTGGTACTAAACGTTTTGCTGGTAAGGGCTTCATCAGTACAAAGTTAGGTAAACTAAGGCTAGTTAAATTTATACAATAGGTCAGACAGAACTTTTCTGTCTTAAACAACGTTACACACAACACAAACTTTCTTTTCGAAGCAGAAACTATTCAAACAGCACGGAACTATCAAAGCATATCTGGACACTCAAAGACAACAACACCAATTTTACAATAAACTGGAGTATTTTAGCGACCACCCCGGCCTACAGCAACAAAAGCAAGCCGTGCTACTTGTGCCTCACAGAAAAACTTTATTTAATTAGAGCTAAAAAGCCATCTTTATTAAACAAAAGAACAGAACTCATTTCTAAATGTTGCCATGAGAATAAGTTTTACTTAGCAAATTTCACAAGCCGCCAACAATAACTCTATAGAATCTTTATTTCACATGTAGATCAGATCATCACACTAGTGAATTAATTAGCTACTTATCTAATTTGTATATAAGGAGGTATGTTCTTCATTGAATAAAGTTCTGTCTGATGAGTGCTTAGGCGCGAAACTCAGAGTAACAGAGAATCGATGCGTCCTCCTTGATTCTTTCACTTATATATACTCAGCTCTGCCACCACAGCATTATGCCAAGGTAGACTCTACCCACATATATATACACACACACACACACACATACATATATATATATATATATATATATATATATATATATATATATAAATAAATACAGAAAATATATACTTATTAAAGAACTGAGTTGGGTGGTATAGGAGAGAAAAGACCATAAGCTAAGATGAAGCATGACCAAAATTCCTGTGCAAGGCATGTCCCCACTAAAATAACTAGATAGTCTTTACAACTAGAAGTAGTCTGCATCACAAAACAACTTTATTTCTGGGTTTAGTGACTCATTTTTCACTTTGTTAAACTACTGAAAGCTACTGGTATTTTGTTTTTATTTATTTAATAATTTATTTTTTCCATTCTTTCCCCACTATTCTTGAAAAGCGTGGAAAATAATTACATTTTGTATGTCATAGCTTGTAGCAGATTGTGCAAATACAATTTTTTAAAATCTACAAACAGTAGAATCTGCCAAACACAGTGCACCCTTAAAATGCTACATGAATACAAATACTCCTAACAAAAATTCAAATACTACCAGGCCTTACTACTGTAGTAGACTTAACCAGTTACATAAGAAAATATTAGATAAAATGCTATGTTTTGGCTCATTTTGATTGAACTTTTGAAACTATGTAATGTAGTACCCAGCTTGTAAGTGCTTAACAAAAAAATTTGAGACAAAAGAAGCAACAGCAATTGATTAATTTCATGTGTTCATAAAAAATAGATGTACAAAGTGCTCTTCTCCAGAGTATAGTTTGGCTGAAACACATATAACATAAATATATATTACATTCTTGTTCATGTTTTTTGGTGTGCTCTTAACATACTGGTTGTTGTAGAGAGTGTAACTGTGGCCATTGTTTCATTCCAAGAATGTACTGGTCATTTTTCTTGTAAAAAGTTATCATCTCATCAAGATCTCTGTTTCCATCTACAACCTGAAAATAACATTTAAAAACTTTTAAATCAGTCAGCAAACAGATAATAACAACAAATAGACAATCAGACCAAGAGGTTGATCTTGATGTAAAACTGAATACTTCTGTGGTGACTAATAATAACTAACTAATAATAACTACTAATAATAACTATTTACAAAGAAGTGTATGATTCAGGCAAAAGCAGGAATTTCCATAAGGATCTTAAGATACCCAAGCAAAGTTTATACATGAGCCACTGAGGTTCTAGACACCAACCTGTTACTGTACCTGTTCGTATTCAGGGAAATCTGGGATTGCATTAGATATGAGTAACTACTGTATGTTCTACTTCTAAGCTTATCAGATGCAAACTGAAACCAGCTGTAACTTTATTATAGTTTGTTTACTTCAACTTTGAGTTCAGTTGCCCTCCAATATTCCTAGTTCTTCAGTTTTTGTAAAACAAAAGAATCTACATGTGCATTAGCAAATAATAGTTTATTCACCATAACTGGAGCAGGAACTGGAAACTTTCTTTGAATTAGCCATTCTTCATGTCTCTCATGTAATGCATTTAGGAGTTCCTGTAAACAAGAAGGAGAGGACACAAATAATAAGATTCAATCACAGTACACCTCCTGCCAATCAGGAACCCTTCTGCAATTATCTTAAATTTTAAAAACATTTATGGTTGCTGTTAACCTACTCTCAGCTCGACTGGGAGTTCGTATGGTATTAAAACGATGTAATTAATTATAAATAAGAAAATTGTGTTTGTAATGGTTCATCAAACAAACTTTTAAGAAAGGAAGAATTTATTTAGAGCAATCTTTTCTCAAAAATCATCAAAAACACACAATCTTCTTCTCCCCAGAGTATTTTACACGTAGATGTGTATTTGAAAATGAACAGATAAGTTACAGGCACATTAATAAGAATTGTATGGTAAAATTTCCAATACAAAAATCTTATAAAAAAACAACAACAATACACACAACCTACCATAGGGATTGTCTTTTCTTCACTTCGATTTCTTGCCTTTATTCTTTCCATGCAGGTTTCAGGAGATGTCTTTAGGTAAACTGGGTGAAAAATTTATTGCAACATTATCACAGACAAACCACCCATATTGATATCACACTACTGTTGTACTTTAAAACAAATGACAACTTGTAGTTATGATGATCACGATCATGGAATGTATCATGATTTCTCTTGTTGATGTTATATGGAAATTTAAAAAACTTACTGATTAGATCTAGATGAGGTTGCTGCTGCTTTGTTATCCAGTTGAACCACTCATTATGAACAGAGTGTTCTGCTTTGGACATCATGCCACTGTAAAAATGAAAGCCATTTTTAACATCCATCTTTCAGGATGGCTGGTGAATGCTTTTGGAGTGAAAGAGAGTGAGTCTCAAGAAGTTATGGAAAATTCTAAAATATGCAATCACCTTTTACAAAGATTGTGCTCAAAACAAAAGTAGCCACTGTAGACACTCCTTTCGATCATTTTCACTGGTGTAACCTGATGAATGAGATGGCAAAAATTTTAACTTCTTCAAAATTATAGGCACACAGAGGCCAAGCTAAAAAAACAAATGATGACTTGCCAATTACAACTAATAAGTCTGCTGGTGTGTATTTGCCTGGAAGAAGTCTTTTTAAGTACTAAAACAAACACGTCTCCTTGAACAATAATATCACCACAATGACAGTCATTTTAAAACACATTAAAAGTATCATAGGCTGTCATCCTGTTAATTCAAATCACTAATTAATAATGAATAATAAATCAACATAATTAATAAATTCAAGTATCTTTTACTCACATGGGGTTTTTTGTGAATTTTCATGAGGCTAAGAACAGCATAAGATTCAAACAAGTAGCTCCACCGTTGACAGTCAGTGTAAAACAACTCCTTTTCAATAGGAGAGGAAGGAAGTGTTAAAGTGAAAATGTATATAAAACTTACAGCGTAAGCTAAAGTAGTGCACAAGCACCAAGAAAATAAAAATATTTGCAAATCAAATGATAAAAAGTACTATGTGAAACAATTGAATCAAGAGTCAGGAGAAAAAAAAGGTTTTTCCATTGGTCCTGTAAAGAGGCTGTTGCTGTCCCATTAAACGGATAAACTTAATTCAATGCTATAAAACTAGGACAAAGCTTGTGGGTTACATGGATGCAATACCAAAATTACAGTATAAACTCACTAAAAGATTTTTGCCACCAACATTCTTCCATTTATCGACAGGTTCCTCCAGTACCTATGCAGTATCAAAGAGAGGGAATTTTAGTTCACAAAAGGGCAGTTAGGATGTCTGGGATTAAACAAATCTGGTGTAAATATCTGTTCTGGTACTTGGGTTAAGAAACCCTGACAGAAAAACCTTTAGTTTTATTTTAAATTTGTTTCATTTTATTTGGCTGTAAATAAATTAAATGAGTTTTTGCTATTTCAGAAATTTTTTATTAACTGTAAGATTGATCTGATAAGATTTTCTTGGCAGGATATATAATTTCTCAGATTTATCTTAATGCTCATACTACACACTCTACACCAACAATACAATTTTAATTTAGCAAAGAAAATTTGGGTAATATCCTGTTGGAAACTTACGATGAGATGTAATGCCAGACTAATGTCGAAGGTAGTGGGTTTATACTAACCTCTACCTCGGAATGATGTCTAAAATGATTGAGAAGAGTCGTTTTTCCACTTCCTATGTTGCCTTCTACTGCAACCTATAAAAAAGTTAGATTTTTTATTTAATGGAGGACAGGTGAAAGGAAAGACTTGATATACATAAATTTTCATCAAAATTAGCTTGTAGTTAGGATAAAAATAAGATGACAGCAACGTAAAAGTCGTACCGTAATATTTCTTTCCCGTGTATCTTCTTCCATTGCACACTCTGATACCAAAGAATCCGTATAACTAAGCATTGTTGAAGAAATCCGAGGAAAGCGCCAAATTACAAATGTTTATTTCTGTGAGAGAAACGGAATTACAAGTAAATTCAGGTTGTTTTGAGGAGGATTACCTCGAATAGACATTGTATGTATGGAAATAGAAGTGATATCGTTCTAATGGCCTTCAAATTCCATACGCTAGCCTTAACATTCCACTGCGATCGCGACAAGAAGCTGGTGTTCTCGCCTCCAACTCTAAACCGATTCACTCCAGTCCGAAACAAAGAACTGAAAGTCACGCTTTTTCAAAACTTAAACACATCAGCGCAGCCGATTTCACTAAAGCAATCAATCTTACAACAGTAGAATGCGTATAAACATCAATGGTTTGGTTAACTTACCTTCAAATAACGAAGTGCCGAGCGAGAAGAAATATGGCGACAATGGAAGAAAATAATCAAATTGTGGCGGGAAAGTAAAAATAGTGAACGTGAGAAGTCTGGAACAACAAAAACTCGGCCCAGTTTCTAAGTTCAATCGCTCAAACCAGTGTAAGTTGATTGAATTTAGTGATGTTCTAGATTCCCTACCATGCATTAGACTTGAAGCATTGCGTGAAAATCCCCTCAGATAGCTTTCGCCTAGTTTTTAATCTTAGCACTCCATCAAAATTAACATGGCACTTACTTTACATCAATCTGATCCTATTACTACCAGAAAATAGAAAAAAGAATAAATTAGAGCTTTGCATCATACTTTCCATCAGAAACAAATTGGGTTTTTGAAAACAAAGCAAGAGAGGGATTGAATGAAATCAGGGTTCATTGTGATTTTAAATCCAATTTTATTTGCTAAAATTCATAAACAAATTACTTGTTTATAACAATGTAACAGAACTTTACAAATTCCATGGGTTCAAATAGTTATGGCATTACTGGTTACAAAATATGACTTAAAAATTGCCATTTTCATAAATAGTCGTACAAAGTGCTTCTCTTTCACTATTGTTCAAAAGAAAAAATATACCACAATCTACGATACTTGAAGGTTAAAAGAGATAAAATGCATATACTGATTCAACCATAACCTGCTTTCAAGCCCCTTCTCTTATTAAACGAGGAGGTGGCTGATCTTCCTTTTCTTGCCATAAAAGAAAATTGTCTCATAACAGGTTGTAGAAACTGCTGAATGGCATCCAAAGCACTGATTATACATTTGTACACATGTAAATGCTTAGCAATAGATATTTACAAATTGCAGTGAAATACACATGGTTAACCTCTAACAATAAAACTTTCTAAAGCATTGGTTGTCAGTATTATTCTGTTTTTGAGGCATTAATACCCAAAAGAAGCTGAGTATTTGTTTCATAAAACTGGAACATATAAGTTAAGCTTTTATTGCCATCTACCACCTAGAATAGAGAAAAGCAAAAGTTTTTTGGTTAATTAAACTTAAATGTAAGTAAATTCTCTATTCAAAAATGAAGGTTACATCCTGGTGACCTGGTGACTTAACCACCAGTGATAGAACACCAGTTGATAGATCACAAGGTGACAAGTCTATTGTTTTATTCTCCTGGACTAACATTAGGTCAGGTTAAATGACAGTTGGTCACTTTCCCCTTAACCCCTGTTTACTATGAGAACACAACACCTAACGACCAAGTTTGAAGCTGGACATCTCTATCGAAATCAAGCACAATCAACCAAACCAAAGTGATTCTTGCAAGACTTGTATAACAAAAATTAATATGATGCACTGAAAATTATCTAGCACACAACTGAGTGAACCATTTCAAGTACATGATGAGTACTTTGTTCATCGAAAAAGAAGTGTTAGCAAAGAGAAAGGATTTTTTCAGTACCTGGTGACCATATGGTAATACTCTCAAATTTAAAACGGAAAACCCAGGCATTGTTAAACTTATAAAATACTGTCCTCATTGCTGTACATCTTAATGTCCCAACCCTTGCTAGATGGCTAGTTCCACCACACAGAAATGATACATTTAATATCAGGTTGTGAAAGAACTTACTACTACTGGAGCAGGCAGGGAGAATTTGCTCTTTTTCACCAGCCATTCTTCATATCTTTCATGCAAAGAATTTAAAAGTTCCTGTAAGAAGGGAAATCAACTCTATGAGTCTAGTCCAATTACCTACATGTACAGTACCCCTCACATAAACATTAACCACAAAAAGCGCAAAAAATGCACATAAGTTATCACATAAATGTGTACATGTTTAAATGAAAATATGCACATCTAAATTTTGCCTACAGCTGTACATGCACATAGACTTGACCCATCTGTCTCATTTGTATATATATGAGCTAGATTTTTGTTTTTCCATTGTTGACAGTTAATCCCTCTACAGAAAAGACTAGAAACATACAGTGTATAGATATTCTTTCTATCATTAAGTGTGCATAAAATGCAGGCAACAGTGAAAATACTGCAGGTAGAATTTTGCTCTAGTTCTGTATTATTTAAACATTTTGACAATTTAAAGATTTAATCCTCCCTTAAATATTCAATGCATGTTGCTGTCACACAGGGAATAGCAAAAAAAAATCAGTAATGCATTTTAAAAGTCTGCCATGAGTGGATCTGCTCATAACACATACCATTGACACTGAACTTTCCTCATCTCTACTCCTCTTCTTTATTCTTTCCATACATTTCTCTGGTGATGTTCTGAGATATACTAGAGTATATGGGAGTCCAAAAACAATATTGAAAAATTAATATAAGTGATGTTGCAATAAGAAAAAGTTAAATTACAAATCATTATGACTTGGAATTTAACAAAATATGTAATCTACATATATTAAATAAAATAACTACAGCCACAATGTGACTCCTTTTGAATGTTTCTGAGTCAAACTGCAATTTTAGGGGGGTCGATTTTTTGTGGAGGTAGGAAAACTAGATAAACCTGGGTAAAACTCTATGAGAGAGAAAAAAAGGGGCACTCCCCTTGTGACACCAAGTTGAAAAACTGAATGTAAGTCCAAGGGGCGCAAGTAAGTGGTCTCACCACTATTATAATACCATCTTGGCTCTCTAAAATTCCTGTTTATGTATCAAGAATCTTGATAATAAATTTTTATTGAAGGGAAGACTGGTAAGAAGTTGGCTCTTGCTTACAAATTATGAATTCAAATCAAATGCAAATGTTGCAGTAAACAAAAAAGAGAAAAAAGTGACAAGTACAAACCTATTAAATCTATCTGAGGCTTTTCATTTGTCATAAGGTATTCAAACCACTCTTGGAAGATTGTATACTCTACTGTTGACAACATACCACTATTTAAAAGAAAATAAAAGGTATATAAATACATAACAAGATAATATCTGAAACAGAGGCTACAACAGCACATAGACCAATGATAGAATAACAACATTTCAAAATAATTTATGTTAGCTTTCAAGCAGATACAGCACATCCATTATTTCTTTTGTTGCACTCAGAAGAATAATACTGAACAAAATATGTTAGATATCAAGTGCTAGAAAGCCAACGATTGTTACAAACATTTAGGTGCCTGTTATCAACTGCCGATCAAGAAACATTATAATAATCATAGTCAAAATAATGATCTACAATAAGAATTGGCATATATTACCCACAACAAAAATTTTTTTGTCAATAGAGTAACAACAAGGACAAATGTGCAATGATGATGGCCAAGACTACCTTTGCTAAACTTAAGAGCAGTCAAGAGTTAATTAAATGGAATTGCACTATTTTCACATGATTTTGAAAAGATTATTTTCACCTTTAATTGCATGTTTCAGTTTACCTTCTATGGAGATTTTCCATGAAGCAGTATCTTGCACTATATGCACTTCTCTCAAGTAGTCTAACAGGTGTAGTCTAAAATAAGAAGACAAAATTATCAAAATGTTACATGTATGTTTTTTTTCTTATTAATTAAATTTCAACTACACTGATGATTGTAGGGCAAAGTATTTCAACTTTATATTACCTGGGGTCTATGGTGAACTTGCATCATAGTGAGAAGGACATAGGACTCAAACAAGTAACTCCATCTCTTTGGATCACTATACATAAGTTCCTAAAAGTCAATTCAATTACCATGATTAAACACATTTTTATTGATTTCTTGGAAGTCTAAAAAATGGAGTCACCTGGGTTATATAATGCTATTTTCTTACCAAAGTATTATTTCCATCAACATTCTGCCATTTTTTCACAGGTTCCTCAATAACCTAGGGGACAAAATGCTCTTATAAAAACTTTAAACAAAATATTTTATGAATTATTCTATCTTGAAACATGGCTAACAATTACTATTTTAAGTTAGACATTCATGGTATCCAAGGTACTAGGGTTCTTGGGTTTAAAATCACTTGCCATAGCTTTCTGTGTTTTTATATACCCTATTTTATTTTTTTTCTATGCACCTCAAAAGGGCAGAAATTTCTCAGTAATGACAGCATTCTTTTTTTCAATCCTCTATAAAAAAAAAAAGTAGTTCACTGGATAATCATTTAGAATTATTATAAAACAAGATTTTGGAAATATACCTCTACCAATGAATTTTTCTTGAAAAACTTCAAAAGACTTGTCTTTCCACTTCCAATGTTTCCCTCTATGGCCACCTAAACATTAAATGCACATATTGCAAACTTTTCTCCTATAAACCTCACAATGAGAACTTAAAGTTTTTGATATAGCTACCCTCTGTAATGATGGTACAATACAGAAAAGTTTAAATTTTATAGCTTCCTCTGATTACCAGGAATGTATTATTAATGAATAAGAAAACAAATCTATGAGAAAAAGCAGATAAAATACATGAAAGTATGATTCTGATACTACATCACCCATAGTAAAATAAAAAACTGATAAAAAAAAACTGATCTTGAACATGTACTTACTGTGATGTTTCTGTTCACTGAATGGTCATTGCTTCCATTGACTCCATTACATGTACTAACGTTTCTAATATTTCCAATCATCTTTCTAGATAGGCTGCCTGCAGATGTACAAGAACAGGTTTAATTTAGGGGGTAAGACACTGTATAAAAGGGGCCTTCAGATACCCAAGATGTACCTATCAAATTGAAAATAACATTTCTACCATCTAAATTGTTGGCCACAAGGTAGACATGAGCTCACGCCTTCATACATATATCAATTTGCACAACCTCCCTATCTACTGATGTTAAACAAAAAGTAATTGACATTTTCTGGTGGCAAATTCACACCATTTCGCGAAATAAATAAATTAAGAAATATGTTAACTATTTTTAGCATTAATCTTTTTCCATTAACGAAAAAATCTGCTCCAAAGCTAAATTTCTTGCTTAATAAGGAATTACGAAAAACTAAAGCTCTCTTGTTCACTGATTGAAGCTTTCCTTGGGGAAACAATAAACCATAACCGAGCGAAAATCGTATTTCTCTTTAAAATTGGGCAAAACAATCCAGAGACAGCAAAAATAAAGAGGAAATATTTGACTAACCCATTCTTTCTTGTAATGTTTAGTTTAAAGGCTTTAGAGAGAACCTAATGCATGCATCATTTGAACTACGCGCGCAAACTTTTAGCCACTCGGTACACGAGTTAGCGATTTTGCCTGAACTTGCCCATGTGACATCACATCTCACAACAAGGGCGAGGAATACGCAGAAGTATCGTCTAAATAATAAATTTTGGAATATCAATATTCGATTTACGAGGGGAAGCAATTCCTACCTTTCAAACCGTGCTTCGTTACTCTCGACAAGAGCGCGAAAAGCGAGTGACATTTGAAGGTCATAATTTATTTTGAACACGTCGTTGTATTTCAGCCAGCGGAGTCCTGATGTCCATGTCACGCAATATAATGTGTCAATCGTCACTCTTTGTCACACCACGTATATGGAGGCATTGTGATTTTCCGTCAAAAAGTTTGGCACCGTGAAAGAAAATGGTGACATCTATCTATAAAACCCTGTGAAAAAACTGGTACTAATCAGTAACTTTCATTTGGAAATATTTCAAACTTAGCAACGAGGGGGAGCTCAAACTGACATTATGCACGGCAGGGAAGTATACATTTCGAAACATTTCTATGTTTTTTGAGATTCACTTACGTACTTCATTGATTAACGCTATATCAGACGAGAAGAAATTCATCGCAGGCCACGTGAAAAGTTACATCAGCCCATTCTGTTCGTCTTTTACCTTTTTTCCTCCTTTGATCTTCAAAGCCCTGTTTTGATTTACTCTTAGCAGTTTTACAGTACTTCAAGTCCGTTTCGGCCTTATGTCATCCTATAAAATAAAGTATTCGTATGAAGTAAATTTTTCTCCTCAACAATAACAAATGTCTTAAGTCCTCCGAAGTGAGTCCTACCCAGTCATTCCCTTTCAAACACATGGCAGATCAGAATAAGTCTGGGTACGACTTTAACAAAAATCAAAATGGCGGATGACCGACAGAACAATAGAAGGTTGAAAAATTTCATGCGTCCTTACTTGGAAGGTTTCTACGATTGGGTTCTAATGCCGACGCATTTTAAAGTAGCCTTTTATTGGTTTGTTGTTCTGGTAGGTTCATTCATCCACGGTTTTCAACTGCTTCCTCTGTCCTATCTCTCGAACAAGAGAAATGTCTTCAACGTGTATTTTGCCAAGTTTGGCTGGGGTTGGACACTTCTTCTTCTGATTCCCTTCATATCCTTAACTTCGTCCGTATACACTTCTTTGAATCCGTTGGCGATACTGAAACATCTAAGTAGGATGGCTGTGGCCACATGTGGATGGTATTTCTGGGTGAATCTGTTTTTTTACATCAAGGAGTTGACCGGCTTTTGCGAAGGAGAAGAAACATTGATTTCAAAGAGGAGCTGTAATAAAGAGGGATTTTACTGGAATGGTTTTGATATATCGGGCCATTGTTTCCTTCTAACTTACAGTGCACTGGTTATTAGTGAAGAACTACAGCCCAAACTTTATTGGCCGTCAACAATGTCAGCTGTTGTACAAACAAGTCCTGAAAATATCAATGGATTTCAATACCGGAACATTGCTCGACTAGTAACACCTTTTGTAGGAGTTTTTTCCTTCTTTGCTGGCCTCTTGTTAATCTTGTGGGAATTCATGCTTGTGTTCACCACAATTTATTTTCACACTGTTTATCAGAAAGTTCTTGGGGCTGGGATAGCGATATTTACCTGGTATATCACTTACAGAGTCTGGTACTGCTATGCACTGTCACCAGGACTGCCTCAGGTCCCTAATGCTAAAGTGACTGGTTGAAGTTGTTTTCACTTAACTGTGAATTTAATCACAAAAATTATATAAAGAATAAATCAAAGCCTGGTCTCTGAATAAGATCCCTGATACTAAATGAAGTGCCTAACCTAATTTAGCAGACTCCTTTTTCTGCAATGACTTTCATTATAGTTCATTTGTGGGAAGAAATTTGTCATCAGTTATTTTGAGGTTAACCCTCAAAAATCAACCTTTACAAGTATGTAATCTCAAGAACTTAAGTCTTCTAATTGGAGGATCCAAGAAGTGAGTTTTAGCCTTTTTTATTTAGTGTTGTTTCTTGTCTCACATCAGTACTTATGTCCAGCTAACTTTTCTGTAGCCTGCAGGACGTAATTTTTGCGAGCGGGCACTCAGTATTTTCTTAACAAAAAGTACGGCTGCCATCTTTGATTTTAATGGCATGAAAAGGCTGGAGAGAGAGAGAGAGAAAGAGAAATTAGTACCAAGGGGTGGGGGAGGGGGAGAGTGAAAACCATTGTTGTGTCTTTTTATTTATTTATTTCTCTGAGCTAATTCAGCTAAGGTGGGAAAGGTCTGTTTTGAAATGATAATGTTAACCTGAGTAATTATTTTTACATGAATAAGTGGACAACTTTGGTTTGTTTTCCCTTCTTTCATTTTGCTGTTAACTTCTTCATCTTGAAATTTCAAATCAATTATAGCTTACCCATGAAGCGCCATAACTTGCCTGTTGAAAAACAGAGAATGTTCAAGATAATATATTCTATCAATCTTGCAACTCACTTTTCCAATTTTCAGACTTTGATCATCTAGACAAATCAAAAGCATTTATTTCAAATTTCATATCTTTTGCTCCCTCAAAGAATAATGGAACAGAGCTTTTTAACTTTTTTAATGGACATTCATCATGGCCTAACTACCTGGGAGGTAAGGAAAAGGATGGCACCAAGGGAGATCAAGTGATCCTCTATGCTTCGGCAAACTGATTCAGGACTTGTATTAGGATGATCAGCAGTCTTGGGCATGAAGTCATGACCACTCCAGACCATCACAGTGATACCAATGCCGAACCACTTGTTTTAGGAACATTCATGAAAAATACATTGTTAGCCTTTGGCCCTAGCAAGGTAGAGAGTGAATGTGCTTTCAGCAGATGTAAAACAGGCATCCTCATCACTCTTTGTTATCTCAACTTGTTTCAGCATTTTCTCCCCCCCTCAAAAAAAAAAAGAAACTTGGAAGTGCTACAAAGAACCAGTAATCCTTTTGTGTCACACTCATATTACTGGCTACCAAAAATTAATTGCAGCATCATTTTGTCTTTTGATTCTTTCCACCCTGACATCAGTATGCATATTCTCCATACAGTTCCTTACACATTCCCTGATGAGGTGCAGATGAGGATAATTTGTTTCATAATTCAGAGCTTCTCTAGTTGCTAACCATTTCCTTTATTCTCATAACCTGCATGTTTGATTCAGGGGTGATATTGTAAGGATAAATTAGATGCTAGTCACTTTTAGGGGTTGAAGGGTTATATACTCTTAGAGACTCGAAATATTCCACAAGCAGTCTTCATGGTGGCTATCTCAGCTTAGCAATGATAGTACTGTAAACTTAGGTGAAAAGAAATATAAAATGAATCCAATTCCACCCAAATTCCATTCAATTTGCCAGCAATTATGCTTTGCAAAATGTAGAAATTTTGTTTATGTCAAATCTCCCCATTGAAGAAGTATTTTTTGTAGATATTTATGAGCCAACCAAAGTGAAAGAGATGATTCGGATACAAAATCTGCAAAGAACGACTCCTGCCAGCTCCTTGGTGTGTAGAATTCAGTTTTGATCTGAATGAGATTTTTACCAGGCTCCGAATTGTAGGGAAAGATAAAACCAGAGGAAAAATTAAAAACGAGGTCTTCAACATGACAGCTGTCTTCAAACCACATGAAGAATGCGAAGAGCCACGAACTGTTTTTGTTGAAGGGGACCCAGGTAAGTGTAAATCAACATATTGTCAAAAGCTGGCATATGACTGGGCAACTACTCAAGAAAACCAGGACGAGTTATTTCCAATAACTGTTCTGCTGCTACTTCTAAGATGTTATGATATCAAATCTGACATTTGGGAACCCATCAATGAGCAACCTTTTCCCGATGAAATGGATTAAGTATCAAAATCAAACTTTGTAAAGTTTATTACTGAAACCAGTCCAAGGTTTTGTTAGTGCCTGATGGCCTGGGTGAAGCAGACCAAAGCACACAATAATTGTTCATAAGACTCCCTCAAAGTAACCAGCTTCTAAATTGCCTTGTTCTTTTCACATCTCACATGAGTCTGGAAAGAAAGTAAGGCGTTGCTGTGATACTCCGTGGGAGATGGTAGGATTCGCCAAAAAGTACTACTACTTCGCAAGTACTTTGGCAAGAAGGAAGACCTCGCTGAGCGACTTCTTACAGAGATTCGGTCAAGATCAGATTTGCGCAAACGGTATCCGGTCGTTTCGCCTACGGGTCGTTTCGCCTACGGTCTGTTCGCCTACGAATAGAGTCGATTCGCCTACGTCTTATATGTCAGTTCGCCTACGAGTTAACAGAAACGTCAGAAGTTTAATAGTTAAGGTTAAGTTTAGGTTAAGTTACACATTAATTTAGGTAGAACTTATGATCGCAAAGTCGATAAGCATCGAAGTTAAGTTAAGTCGAGTTTAGTTAAAACAAGCCGGTTAAGTTTATGATTTCAAGATTGTCAAGTATGAAAATTAGGCTAAGTTTTCTTCGGTTGGCTTTCCTTTAGGTTAAGTTGCACATTAATTTAGGGTAGCTAAGTTTAGGTAGAATAAGGCTGGAATTTCGAACTTAAGGCGAAATAGATAGCAAGGGTTACATGTGAATTATTTTATCAAGGGGCGGGTGTCACTAGGACAACCCACACGTTCCCGCATGTAATAAGTGTATTAGAATTAACACAGAGTGCGGAGGAGTAACATATTTTGTAGTTAAATTTTATGATCGCTGACGGTTTGATTGTCGATTATACAGTTAACACAGGCGAATCGTACGATCGGCTCGGTAAACTTTTCGCCTCGCCTACCGTCACAATGAACTCCTCTGCGCCCTGTGGAATTAAACGTGAATGATCTGTTGTTTAAGGGGCAGGTGTCACTCGGATAACCTAAATGTCCCCGCATGTAATAAGTGTATTAGAATTAAAATGTCGCGAAATGAGTACGCTTCATGGTTACTGAGTGTAATTGGAGAACCGTGTAATTCGCAACTCAGAATATGCGATATTTACATAACTTGTTTTTACTCGAACGAAGATGAATCAAATTAAAACGGAAATTTTCAGGTAAACGAATGCTCCTTATTTACAATTATTTAACTTCGATAGGCTTGACTTTATGAGTCACGCTCTAGGAATTGAATCGCGATCGCACATAAAGTAGATGAATCAACTGTTGTAACACATGTTTTAACACGTAGGCGAACTGACATATGAGACGTAGGCGAATCGACTCTAACCGTAGGCGAACAGACCGTGGGCGAAACGACCCGTAGGCGAAACGACCGTAATTCCGTTTCACCTCTGGAAAACGATTCACCACTGCAAGACTCATTTCCACTAGAATAAATGCTACTCCCGGAGTCGGAATCGTAATCAAAAATCCCATCTCCATCATCACGATCAACCGTCATTTTCCTGATACCTTGTGACAGAAAGACAGCTTTGAAGATGGGGAGGTACATGAGAATAATTGAAGGTAATTCCAGATAAGTTCAAGCTCAATGAGATATTCACCGAAAGAGCCTTATAATTAATGAGTGTGACAACGCCAGAATTATCAATCATATTATCCCCTAAGTCCAAGTTTGTCAACGTGGTATTTATCTTCAAGAGCCGTAGAGAGAGAATCAGCTCCACTATTCCCAACATGGTCGCAACTCAAGTTTAAATCAGTCAAAGTTGAATTGTTTGAAAGAGCTTTAGAAAGGGAAGTAACACCAGTGTCAGAAATATCTTTGAACTAAACTTAAGTTTAGATTGGTCAATGTCCTCCTGCCTGAAATAGCCTCAGCGAGGGAAGCAGCACCACGATCACTAACTTCGTTACCTCTCAGGTTCAAAATGGTCAAAGTGGTACTGACTCTACGACCCACAGAGAGAAAAACACAAGTTTAAATTTGATATAGCTGAGTTGTCTGAAAGGGCCTTGGACGGGACTCGGCCCCGGAGGCACGAATCACAAAGTTACTTAGGTTTAAGTTTTTCAGGGTGGTATTGCCTAAGAGACTTTCAAGCCAATAAGATTCAAATAACGAGACTTCCTTAAGGATGAAGGCACGAGTTCGAGGTGAGACCCAAATTCACGCAGCAACAGGGGCCGGAGGCTTTTCTTCCATTTGACACTTCTCTTATGAAAAGACATGCCGACTCTACTCATCCTTTGATTTCTTTGAATCCATAACAAGAAGTATCGGGGCTTAACGAGTTTGTGTGTTTAGCTTTAGTACACAAAAGATGTATTGCGCTCTCACCAGACTTTGAGACTATAATCCCACTGGAGAAAACAAAAACATACCTCAATTCACGCAAAAAATCTTGCGTCAGTTACATTAATGTCCAAATCAGTGTCTCCAGCAAGACTTTAGAAGCAAGGTAGAAACCAGCGAAAAATTCTTGAAAACTTTTGTGCGGAAATCCATAACGATAGCAAGGCTTGCGTCTGCTACCTCCGGCCTGGACAGAAAGAAACCCAAGCTTGGCTAGAACCCTTGTATTGCTTCCAGTAACTGCACTTCCTTCAATATATGGCTCGCCTTTAAGAAGAGATGTTAACGCCAGCTTCCCCAAGCACAAAAGATCTTCTTCGTACACTTATAATAAATCCTCATTTTCTTAGGGACTTAGAGATTCTTTCTTTCCTTGATATCTCCTCAAAACACACTGCGTAATTTCAATGTACAATTTTGCCTATCTGGTTGGGAAACCTTCCCTAAAATCCTCACACAGAATGCAGAGCAATGCTGTGTTAAGAGGATTGGATATCAGTTTGCGCGAATTACGGTCGTTTCGCCTACGCGTCTCAAACGTCCCGGAGTTATAAACCCTTCCTCCAAGAGTGGCACGAGTTTCAATGATGACCCTTATTCCGGTATTAAAAAGCCTCACTGTGATGATGGGAAGGACGAACAGTTTATTAGTGATGCTCTTACTAGAGATACGTCAGGTTCATCTTGAGAATAGCCTCTATTATAGTTTTATGTCCACTCTGACAGAGGTTTTCTGTAACTGTCAAAGGTTCTTCAAAGTCAGAGTCATTAAAAACAAACAAACATCAACAACGACCACAACAATTCAGCGTCAAAATGCATTCATTCAGCAACTGGTTACGGGTTGGGTGGCTAAGGGGAGGAATTTTTAGAGAGAATATGAAACCAGAATATGGTTTAATAGTAGTAACTTGTGCTTTCTTCTCCGATCAAAGTTACCTTCGACCAGCTTTTTACCAATTGAACTCCTTTGAGTGACCAAGACTGAATTTCTCCTTACAGGCACAATGCAATATCAAGCAGACAAATGAGGAGAGTAAAAGAAAATGTCAGTTAAGGGATTAGTTGATTCTATACTAATTTCTCCGCTGCAACATCGTATAAATTGTATGGCAGACTACAGAGAATTACTTCGAATTACCAATGAGATCTTAAGCGTGAGAGTGTCAAAAGCAAAAATATCACATCACCCACGCGATTGTAGTTTGTGCCAGGGTCTAAACTTCACGTAGGCTCGTTTTCAACCTGTCTCTCGTTTCAGGTCTTTGCTCCTTCTCGAAAAAAGGGGGAAGGAGCGGAGGCTCGTATTCCCGAACAGCGGCTGGTAATCGAGCCAAGGCTTCTCGAGAAACGAGCAAAACAGCGAGCGAATGAAAAGCAACGGAGTCAGGAAAAGAATAAATGCGAGGCGAATGCTCTTCGGCGCGGAGGCTGTCTAGTGCGCTCCACGATCGTCGTTATGCCCTCGTTTCGCTTATGCGAAAAAAGACAAGACAACAAAAACAACAACCCCTGTTGACAGTGTTCAGTTTTGCAGTCGTTTTCCCAAAGACCGCAACTGCCTTTTAATTTGACTAAAACTGAGCTGGGAAAAAGTTTCTTTGTTATGTCATCCTATAAAATAAGGCATTCCTTTGAAGTAAATTTTTCCTCGTCAACGCCAATAATAACAAATGTCTCTCAGTCCGCAAGAGTGAGTCTTTCCCAGTCCTTCCCTTTCAAATCACGTGTTAGATCAGAAAACGACTGGGTACGATTTTATCAAAAATGACGATTGACTGGCAGGATAAGAGAATTTCGAAAACTCCTCGTTCTTTCTTGGAAGGTTTCTACGATTGGGTTTTAATGCCGACGTATTTTAAAGTAGCCTTTTATTGGTTTGTTGTCGTGGCAGGTTCATTCATCCACGATTTTCTACCGCTTCCTCAGTCTTATCTCTCGAACAAGAGAAATGTCTTTAACGTGTATTTTGTCAAGTTTGGCTGGGGTTGGACACTTCTTCTTCTGATTCCCTTCATATCCTTTACTTCGTCCGTATACACCTCTTTGAATCCGTTGGCGATACTGAAACATCTAAGTAGGATGGCTGTGGCCACATGTGGATGGTATCTCTGGGTGAATCTGTTTGTTTACATCGAGGAGTTGACCGGCTTATGCGAAGGAGAAGAGACATTGATTTCAAAGAGGAGCTGTAATAAAGAGGGATTTTACTGGAATGGTTTTGATATATCGGGACATTGTTTTCTTCTAATTTACAGTGCACTGGTTATTAGCGAAGAACTACAGCCCAAACTTTATTGGCCGTCAATAATGTCAGCTGTTGTACAAACAAGTCCTGAAAATATTAATGGATTTCAACACCGGAACATTGCTCGACTAGTAACACCTTTGGTAGAAGTTTTTTCCTTCTTTGCAGGCTTCCTGTCAATCTTGTGGGAGTTCATGCTTGTGTTCACCACAATTTATTTTCACACCGTTCATCAGAAAATTCTTGGGGCTTTGATAGCGATATTTACCTGGTATATCACTTACAGAGTCTGGTATTATGATGCACTGTCACCAGGACTGCCTTGGGTCCTTAATGCTAAAGTGACTGGTTAAGTTGTTTTCACTTAACTGTGACAAAATTATACATAGAATAAATCATAGCTTTGTCCCTGAATAAGATTCCTGATACTTAATGTAGTGCCCAACTGAATTTTTCAGACTCCTTTTTCTGCAATGACTTTTATTGCAGTTCATTTGTGGGAAGAAATTTGTCGCCTTTTATTTTGAAGTTTGCCCTCAAAAGATATTATTTATAATTATGTAATCCCAAGAACTTAAACTTTCTAATTGGAGAATCCAAGAAGTGAGTTTTGGCTTTCTGTTTAGTGTTGTTTATTGTCTGATATCAGTGCATATGTCTAACTAACTTTTCTGTAACCTGCAGAGCAGGCATAATTTTGGCAAGTGAGTGGTCAATATTTTCTGAAAAACAGTTATGACCACCAACTTTGATTTTAATGGTAGCAGAAGGCTGGGAAGAGAAAGAAATTTGTACCAAGGGGGTGGTAATGGTCAAAAATAAGGAGAGGGGTGGAGTGGGGGAGTGAAAACCATTGTTGTGTCTTTTTATTTATTGAATTAATCTGAGCTAAGACAGCTAAGAATATTTGGATGCTCCTGAGAAGCTGAGCAGATAAAACTTTGATAATATTTTATATTATCAACTGAGTTGAAAATGTAAATTGGCCACCATGGGGAGTTTCAAAGTTGATGTTTGGATTGTAAGCCCTTCATTAGAGCAAAGGACCAGGGGCTTTAAACATTAGCTTGAAAGTCTTTACAGTGGACAATTTACGAGATCGACTCGGGTTGATAATACTGAATTACCCTGTTATTCTCACCCACCGTTGCAACACCACAGTTTCTTCAGAAACTTCCCCCTTTATTACTAGTTCCTGGTAGTACTGCTCCTGTTATTGTGAACTTTGAATTTTTTTTATTGGAACCTGGATTTTTTGTCAAATTTGATAGTACTGACAGATCTACTTCCAGGGGTGCTTACCTCTTGAAAACAAATTTGTATTTCAAATGGCTTCCCAGAACCTGTTATGCTCCCAATCCACCCCCACCTCATCTAAGTTTGTTGAGTGACTGCTTTATTCCAGTCTCTCCCAAAACTGCAAAAATTGTTAAAATACACACAGGAAAAAATACAACCATTTTCAAAAAGAAAGTAAGAGTTATATGTAGGAGATGAATTTAGTTGATTTGGTATTTTTGTGGCGTTAATCTTTATTTTGTTTCCATCTGTCCAGGGGTCTGTTAATTTCGCAACTAGATTCTGCAGTGAGACTGCAATTAAGGCTTGACCGTAAAAGATCTGGGCACGAGACTAGGGATCTATGTCAGGAACTGTTCCTGATACTTTAGTTTGTAGTGTCCACTCTGATTTTTCCGAAAAATCAGGGGCTATGTGTCAGATTTTGGATAAAAGTGGCTACCTTGTTTCTGTCGTTCAAGCGGGCCACCTACGCGCCCAACAAATCGATCGACAGTCGGCACTACAAACGGCTGAGAAGGAAAATACTAGTCGCATTCCATTCACTCCCTCGTTTCACCCTCACAACCACGCAGTTAAATCAATCATTCTTAACTTGAACGTCAAATTACTTCAAAACGATTCAGAGACTGGTGCTATCTTTTCGTAACCTCCAGTAATTTCATTCAAACGTGACGAAAACATATGCAACTTTTTGATCAGAAGTTCATTGCAAACCAATGACCAACCTGGAACTTTCAAATGCGCTCGCTAACGATACAAAACCTGTCCTTTCATCCATGACGTAGAGAAAATTTCGGGCCAAGAGATCCATTGAGATCACGGATCACTTTACTGCACCTCCGCCAATGTTATCGACTGCATAACTTGCACCTATTGCAACAAGCCATATATTAGTGAAACAGGAAGACGACTAGATGACCGATTCCGAGAAAACCTTCGCAACGTAGAAAGAAATGACAAGGACGCATCCAAACCAGTCGTTAGACACTCTAATAAGATCTCCCTAATCATTCTAAGCAGCATATGGCAGTTTGCGGCCTTTCCTTACATCTAGGCAGTTCGGAAACCCGCAAACTGTAGAACAAAATTTTCCTTCAAATCGACACTCTTAATCCCCTACGGTATCAACGAGCGCTTTTCATTCAACTAATTTATTCTTATTTTCTCGTCGCCATATTCCCACAAATAGCGTGGCTCCCACACACAACCCATTATTCCTCCAATTGCTCTGACGAAGGGCTAAAACTCGAAACGTAAGCTTTCAAACTCTAAACGGTAGCCAAATTACGTTATCGACACAGTTGATGATATCAGATAACCCTGTTATACTCTCCCACCGATGCAGCACCACAGTTTCTTTAGAAACCTACTCCCTTTGTTCGTGATGCTATTTGATCTTAGAACTCTACAGCCTAAAAGGACTACTACAACAAACTTGCCAAACAAAAAGAAGACCCCTTTTACTACTTACGTCCTTACCCTTATCTACTACTCCCTTACGTTTTTTTTTTTTTTTTTTCGAAAAATAATTAATTTTACTTCGCAGTACTTTTCTTCGTTATAATCATTCCGTGTGGATTGAGGGTAGTTCGCAATATCTACGAATATAAGCCCGCAAAATTATCTTACTAAACTTCGTAACTAAGCCTGGCTTGTAAACAGAGAAGGTCCTGGAACTACACTACTAATAACTTAACCTGATGACGTCATGCGCGTTAAGATAACTGCCTCTTTCGATTTCAGTAACAACGAAGCCAAATTGCTGAATATGCTTTACCGGAGCATTCTTGATGCAGGTTTGTAGCTATGAACTGTCAACACTGTCAGCTTGATATGAATCATGCTTGGCTAACATAAGTAAGTTAGATTTATTTGGAAGTTGTTTGTTGACATCGCAACTTCCGGTAGATAGACATTGATCGACATCGTTCTCTAAATGCGTGAGTTCACTTTATAATTATGCCAAAATATTATGAAGATAACCCAACCAGACCTAACGGTTTTGCTTTGCGAAGCTCGGCTCCTTTAAATGTGATTTAGCCGATCTCACAGCTGTAGTTAGTACAAAGTTAAGTCTTCAAATGAGGATCAGTTAGCAAGTGCGCGGGTGATGCATCCACGAACTGATTTTCAAACTTTGCAGTTGTGGCAGACACTTATCGATGTGTTGGGATTGTATTTTAATTAAGCTGCTTGTATTATTAGAAATCATCAACATTGCGTGAGGGTGAAGTTTAATCAGGCCGTTAGCGAGACAAATGTAAAATTCGTTCTTAGTTTATCAAGCGCGATCAGTTTACACCGTACAAAGAATTAAATTTCATCAAAAATGCGTCATTTTTTTGTGTTAATATAAAACTCTTGTAGGTTTTATTCATTCAGTACTGCTGTTTATCCGTTTCTGCAAGTAATGTTATCGGAAGTACGAATGGTTCGCTTCATCTCTCTGGAAATCAAGCTTGACCTCCCATAAGGCGAAAACTTTACGAGCGTGACAATTTAATCGTTGCAATGGATGATCACTTGATACTCACACAAATACAAATCATTTCGAAACTTTACAAACTTAAACTTGTACCATGAAAATGGAAAATGATAGGATTTATCTTCAAAACGTAATTTTGGTGAGATGCCCGAAAGGTAGAAAATAGCCGGATACAATATCGCAAATTTCGTCTGCGATAGTCCACAAGTTGACCCTAACTCTCGCGTATTGATTAAAGTTATCAAGATCGAGCTATGCAGTAAAGTTTAGTGAAGAAGAGAAAGTAAACTTTATAAGGTTAAGGCTACTCTGTAAAATTTCATTCACCAAATGAGAATGATTAGCAAATCAAAAATTGAATACAAAGATTTACGAAATCCGAGACCGAACCACATGGTTATCAATGAGACTCGATGAATGCAGTAAATTTGCATTTTTAAGGCTCCCTGAAGTTTTGACAGTTGCCATGGCTACGTAAGAAAAGCGGGGTAAGTTTTAAAAAAAAGAACTGGTGTTGCGTCGGTGGGGGGTATTTACAAGATTTTTTAACTGTGTTTGATAATTGAATTGGCTACCGTAAAGAGATTCTAAAAATGACATTTTGAATGTTAGCCTCTCGTCTACCTCTCTCTACGATGGCGAATTTACACTGCCATCGCAGATGACTAAGCCAAATTATGCTACTGTAGAAACGGCCCCTCTGCTTGAGGAGTTTGACGCCAGCAAGAAATCATTTGCGACTGGCGCGGCTACCTTTCGTGTGCTTATCTATTTTTTTCTCTATTCTATTAATCAGTTATAGAAATTTGATTTTTTTTAAACGTTTCTTCGTAGCTCGAGATTTTAATTGGTAACACCCTATTTACTAGTGAAAGTTCACTGTCGATTATCGTAGGGAACAAGGGGAACGAATTGCATTTCGGGCAATTAAACCATAAAACATAAAAAGATGATTTGAGTTAAAACCTACTTTCTTCTTCAATTTCGACTTAATTCTTCCAAATATTTTGAATCTCAGTAGCAAGCCTAAAAATCAAGGTGATAAGGAATCGAGGGTTGTCCAAAAGCTTGTTTACTTGGAATGGAAATTCAGTGCGAGAGGGATAACTCGAAGCGTTTTACCAGAAAGAATAATTCTCACTCGAAAACCCATCAAAGTCATGAAAAGTTGATGTTATTACGTAATTTATGTATTTAATTGGTGCAATGTAATTTATGTATTTAACCATCAATAAAGGTTACTTCCCACCTTCGCGGGTTTCCTTCGGGAAAAAATTCGTACGCGCGTTAGTTTTCCTAAAATCCCAGCAAACTCTACATCAAGAGAAAGTTCTTTAACTGCAGTTTACGATAAAAATATTATTTAAGCGACTTTTCCTCTAAGGAAGTGTCAGGAGCCGGTAAGGTGTGAAACGACCGAGAGTGCTTCTATTTAAATTATCGGACATCGGATGTCGCAGCACGAGCAAAATGGCCGCACAGTCTTATTCACAAGGCATCCATCAACTTCATGTGTCAGGCTTTTTCGATATTCTGATTGGTTGTCTAGATATCGGCATCTAAAGTTGGAGTAACAAAAAATATGCAAGGCGTGTTGCGTAAATGGACGCCACGGGGCAAATATTTCAAAAATCATAATTTCCCGACATTGTTTCGTTTGTAATTTATTCCCGGAAAGTTTTGGCGAAATTTGACGAAAATCGGTCAAATCTAAATACCCTATAAATTCGCTCAGAGTGGTTGTATTCCTCCCAATATCAAATGCGAGAGTTTAGCTCATTGAGGCTCGCAAACATCTCGCACCACGTCAGGAGATTATCTTGCCTCCTGAAACCACAAACCAATGGGACAACGAGACCTTCTGGCGCTAATGACGATAGATAAAGATTTCCCGGGAGAAATAACCCATTGCATTTTTTCATCTCGATCATTCAGTGGAGCGTTTAGGTAGACACAATAATGAGCAAAGTTGCCAAAGGCAAAGGAAAAACCCACGGAAAAATGGAAAAAACCCGAAAATGTGCTGGGGAGCAAGACAACGAATCGACAGACAGCTTACAAAGTTACGATTCGAAGGGTTGTTTGCTTGCAGTAAATAAAAGAAACCTCGTTCGCGACTTCTTACGCTAGCGTGGAGCTCCGCCAGCACCAGTCGCTTTCCCAAAGGATTATTTTGACAGAATGGTACTCTTTCTTTCTTCTTTTGGGCCTGCCTTTGGGACTTTTATTCCGCTTTTGATTTTCCCATGAGCAAAGATTTTTCCACAAGCAAAGAGCTTCCGCGTGTGAATTTTGTCAAGTACGCGGTGTTAACAAAATATGCAAATGACATGAACAACGGGCCCCAAGATTGGCAGTTGCGCGAAAATTCCCCCGGGGATTCGCCTAGGTACGAGACTTTGACGCCTTCCTGATTTACCAACTTTTATTAGAAAATACGTTTTGTGTAAATAACTCGGGTGCCTTTAGGGATTTCAAAAATTTTTTTGGAGGAAAACGTTGGGTCAAATATTTGAGTCACTTCAGTCAAATAGAAGAAAAATCGACTTTTTCGGCTTCTGAAGGTGGGAAGTAACCTTAACTAGATATTTGCAAGGTTTTTTTTCATAAATCAGTTTTGAAAAATTGTGTATCATTTATTTCCTATAGTAATTTTGTTCCTGTTTCTTGGATGACTTCTTCACAGTCGCTCGAACTTGAAGAAAATAGCCAACCACCTTTATCCGCTCACAAGTTAAAGGTTACAATCCTAGCATCAGAATGGGGATCGGATCAAGGCGAACTACCGACCTTAACCAGAGAGTTAGCTATTCAGTTGGCTAAATTTCCCGAAGTCGAAGTTTCTCTTTTCGTAACGAAATGCAGCGAGGAAGACAAAAGAACTGCTCGTCGTTACAGTATTGAAATCGTTCAAGCAAAAGCACGGCCTGGTTTCGATGAACTGGAATGGCTGAATTTTCCACCCAATGAGCTGCAAATTGAAGTGGTTGTTGGCCATGGTGTGGAGCTTGGGCACCAAGCCCAGGTTATTAGAGAATCGCACCATTGTAAGTGGATTCAAGTTATCCACAAAGACGCGGAGGAGCTTGGAATGTTCAAGACCTCTCAAAGTGCCATTTCATCAGGGGAGGAAAAGCACAAAACAGAAGTGGAACTTTGCAAAATGGCGGATTTCGTTGTTGGCTTTGGGCCCAAGTTATGCGAGTCCTTTCGCAGATTTCTTCGTGGGTGCAAGAAAGACAGCGCTATTCTTGAGATCACCCCTGGCGTCTTTGACGAATTTGAGAATATCGCACACGTTGAAGAAGATTTGAAATCGTGCAGCATTCTAGTGTTTAATCGAGGATTTACTGATGACTTTGAGTTAAAGGGTCTCGAAATTGCAGGCAGTGCTGTTGCTGAGATTGAAGAAGCCCGTCTCATTTTCGTTGGTGCTCTAGAGGGGAAACACGGAGACAGCAAACCGTTTTCTGAGCTGCGGTTTACCTGCTGGTCGCCTCACTGTAAAGAGCTTTGTGCAAAACCGACAGATGTTAAAGGAGTTCTTTTGCGAGGGGGATGTCGTACTCATGCCATCCAGAACGGAAGGATTTGGACTCATTGGGTTAGAAGCCTTATCAGCAGGTCTCCCTCTTCTTGTTAGTAAGAACTCTGGATTTGGAGAAGCTCTTAGTAAAGTACCGTTTGGTGCATCTTGCATCGTTGATTCAGAAGATTCCAAAGTATGGGCTGAAGCTATCAAGGAAGTCTGGAGGAAAGAAAGAATGATCCGACTTATGGAGGCTAGAGTACTTCGTACCTCCTACGGCGAGAAATACAGCTGGTCCACACAATGCAAAGCTTTAGTCATCAAGATGATCAGCATTGTGAATGGTATAAAGTGAACATAAAACCAAAATTTTTGAGGTTACTGAAGGTGATTCCTCAAAAGGAAAAGTTATCGAACAATTGTTTAAACTTTCCTTAAATGTACCCTACCAATGTCTGTTTCGAAAATTTGAATCAAACTTACCTCATTTATGCCTGTACTAGTGCGTCATTTCATCGGTTCACGGTACATTTTGCTGCAGCTGGAAGCAAGGGTTTTTAAAGTAACACTTCAAACAAAAAAATTGATAGATAGAAAGTCCCGAGCGTATGGACCAATTTGATATATGATTTTGGGAAAATCACGCAAATTTAAACAACACCGACTCAAAACGTTCCTCGAGTTGTTCCTTTCAATTTCATAATTTGCATCATCGAGTAACGTGCTTCGTGTGCCCTTTTAGCTTTATCTTTTTTCCCTTCGAAGAACTTTAAAGGATAAAAATTGCACACCAAAATCACGGAAAAAAAATCAGGTCACCGTTCTCGTTCAAGGACTAAAGACCATCGTACCTCTGGTCTATGGATTGAAAAACATTACCGTATTCTCGGAATACACGCGCGCTCATTCCCCTGATTACGTGATTTTTATGCGCAATACAGGATGCGCGGTGCAAAACTGAGGAACCATCTTAATAACAATTATTATAACAATAATAATAATGTTAATGATTATAGTTGCCATAGTCATATATAATTATGATAGTATCAATGATAATGAGTAAATGTTTTAGATCTAGGCGAATAAATTGTAATTCTGAAAGCAAATCACGCATAAACAGCAGCATTGATTTGATAACAAGTTAAGAAACTAAAATGGCACAAACTTGAATTTTCAAGAAGTTTCAAGAAAATTCTCATGTTTGCGACCGTCACATGTTACCTCTGCACCTTTTATTACTCAGTTGGATAATAACAGTAACGATCTTGAACATGCTTACTTTTGCCACTAAGTAATTGCATTGACAAAGTAAAGTTCTTTCTTCTCCTCTTGCAGATTCGTCTTTTCATCAGGAGAGAAAAAGAAACAGAGAACCATCCGTCTCATCCAATACTCAAGCAACAAAGAAAATGAAATCCTCACATAGTCAAGATACTCACCTTTCAGGTACTTCAGGTCTAAAACGGTAATCACACAGCGTGTAAAACGTTCTTTGTCGGACTTTAAAGGTCAAGATCACCCATCCCCAAAAAAATACAAGAAAAAGAAACTTGGAAGTGCTACAAAGTACCGGTACTCCATCAGAGAGCTACTTTTGAGTGCATACTCTTATATCACTATCTAACAAGAACTAATTACAGCATCGTTTTGTCTTTTTAAATACTCTTACAGACTCAAAATATTCCACATGCAGTTTTCATGGTGGCTATCTCAGCTTAGTAACGATAGAACCGTAAACTTGTATGAAAAGATGAACCCAATTGCACCCAAATTCTATTCACTTCGCTGGCCGTTACGCTTTGGAAAATGTAGAAATTTTATTCTTTAGGAACGTAAATGTCAAATCTTGACATTAATGATGTATTTTTTTTTGTAGATCTTCGTGAGCCAACCAATGTGATAGAGAGGATTCGGCAGCTGTACAAAATCTGCGAGGACCGACTCCTGCCAGTTCCTTGGTGTGAAGAATTCAGTTTCAAGCTGAATGAGATTTTCACCAGGCTTCGAATTGTAGGAAAAGATAAAACCAGAGGAGAAATGAAAAACGAGATCTTCAACATGACAGCTGTCTTCAAACCACATGAAGAATGCGAAAAGCCACGAACCGTTTTTATTGAGGGGGACCCAGGTATGGGTAAAACAACATATTGTCAAAAGCTGGCATATGACTGGGCAACTACTCAAGAAAACTGGGACGAGTCATTTCCAATAATTGTTCTGCTACTACTGCTCAGATGTCATGATATCAAATCTGACATTTGGGAAGCCATCAAAGAGCAACTTCTACCCGATGAAATGGATGAAGTATCGAAGGCAAACTTTCATAAGTTTATTCGTGAAAACCAGTCCAAAGTTTTGCTGGTGCTTGATGGTTTGGATGAAGCAGACCAAAGCAAACAAGAATTGTTCGTAAGACTCGCTCAAAGTAAACAGCTTTCAAATTGCCTTGTTCTTTTCACATCTCGGCATGAGTCTGGTAAGGAAGTTAGGTGCCTCTGTGATACTCTGTGGGAGATAGCAGGATTCGCCAAAAAAGACGCAGAAAGGTTCATTCGCAAGTACTTTGGCAAGGGAAAACACTTGGCCGAGAAACTTCTAACAGAGATTCAATCAAGTTCAGATTTGCGCAAACTGATATCCAATCCTCTAAACACAGCATTGCTTTGCATTCTGTGTGAGGATTTTAGGGAAGATTTTCCAACCAGCAAAGCAAAATTGTACATTGAAATTACACAGTGTGTCTTAAGAAGATATCAAAGAAAGAGAGGATCTCTGAATCCCTGCGAAAGTGAGGATTTAATACAAGTGTACGAAGAAGATCTTTTGTGCTTGGGGAAGCTGGCGTTAACATCACTTCTTAAAGGCGAGCCATATATTGAAGGAAGTGCAGTCACTGGAGGCAATACAAGGGCGCTAACCAAGCTTGGGTTTCTTTCTTTGCAGGCCGGAGGTAGCAGACGTAAGCCTTGCCTCCGTTATGGATTTCTGCACAAAAGTTTTCAAGAATTTTTCGCCGGTTTCTACCTGGCTTCTAAAGTCGTAGCTGGAGACACTGATTTGGACATTGATGTAACTGACGCAAGATTTTTGCGTGAATTGAGGCATGTTTTTCTTTTCATGGGTGGGATTATAGTCTCAAAGTCTGAGGAGAGCGCAATACATCTTTTGCGTGCTATAACTAAACATGCCAACTCGCTTAGCCTCGTTACTTCTTGTGGTGGATTCAAAGAAGTCAAAAGAAGAGTAGAGTCGGCATGTTCTTTCATAAGGGAATGTGCCGAGTACAAGGAAAGTCTCCAGCCCATGTTGCTGCGTGAGTTTGGGTCTCACTTTGAAACCGTACCTTCATCTTTGAAGAAGTCTCGTTACTTGAATCTTATCCTTGAAAATCTCTCAGGCAATACCAGCCTGACCAACTTAAACCTATCCAATTTTGTAATTTCCGACTCCGGTGCCGAGTCATTGTCTAAGTCCCTCTCAGACAACTCAGCTATATCCAATTTAAACTTGAGTCTAAACGGCATTGGTCATGATGGTGCTAAGTTTCTTTCTCTGGGTCTTAGAGCCAATACCACTCTGACTATTTTGAACCTGAGAGGTAACAACATAGGTGATTCTGGTGCTGCTTTGCTCGCTGGGGCTATTTCAGGCAATAGGACATTGACCAATCTAAACTTAGGTTTCAATGAAATTTTTGACTCTGGTGCCACTTCCCTTTCTGAAGTTCTTTTGGACAATTCAGCTTTGACTGATTTGAACTTGAGTGTCAACAACATTGGAAATACAGGGGCTGATTCTCTTTCTGAGGCCCTTAAACAAAATACCACGTTGACAAACTTGGACCTAGGGGATAATAGGATTAATGATTCTGGCGTTGTTGCACTCATCGAGGCTCTTTCGGTGAATATGTCATTAACCTTGAACTTGTCTGGAATTACCTTCAATTCTCATGTACCTCTCCATGCTCAAAGCCGTCTTTCTTTCACAAGGTATCAAGAAAATGACGGTTGTGCTGATCGTGACGATGAAGATGAGATTTTTGATGACGATTCCGATTCCGGGAGTGACATTTATTCCAGTAGAAATGAGTCTGGCAGTGGTGAATCGCTTTCTAGTGGTGACACGTCATCTATTAACGATGAGGTACCAAATAGTGAAGACGAGAGGTTTATTAATGACGCTGATGATGAGGTCTCTGGTGAGGATTCCGGGAGTGACGCGTCTCAGAGTTGTGACTCTTCTTCCGGGAGTGACACGTGTTCCAATGATTACGCTTCCTCCAGTAATAACAATTCTTACAGTGATGATGAGGAGGACGAAGTTTATTAGTGAAGCTCCTACTAGATTCATCTTGAGAATAGCCTCTATAATAGTTTTAATCAGCTCTGACGGAGGTTTATTTTATTAGATCGTAGTTCTATAGGAGTGGAGATGCCAGTTTTAAACTTCAGCATGGCTATGGTTTTTAATTGTTTATGGCGCACAATTTCTTTACAACGCTCACTTGAGTTGTTGAACACAAATTTAGTGTTGTACTTATAACTGTATTCTAGGGAATTACTGTATCATAATGTCTGTTGTTAACTCTTGAAGTGTCCGCAATAAATTCAATATGTTATAACTAAGACAGGTTGATAGTCATGATCTAGTTGGGTAATTCGACGTTATGTCAAAACATCCGGTGTTCGCCACCCGGCCAATAGGAAGTTCTCACTTAAGAACTTTGGAATTTAATAACTCTATATTCCCTTTCATGATTAAAAACCTGTTCAGTTATTCAGTTAACTGAGTACAGCGTATGTTGATAATTGAAAAATGATTGCAACCAGAAATTTCAATTTGGGATGGTTTGTTTCAGAAATCACTCGAATTTTCTCGAAAAAATATTTCAACGCCACATGGAGTAACTAATTTTCAAGTCTGTCGCGATCTCATTTGAATTCTGTAATTACTTACCGCAGAAAAAAGTGACATCTTGTAATTGCTAAATGTTCTTTAAAGTCACAGTCCTTAGAAACAAACAAAGAACAACAACGACCACAACAACTCAGGGTCAAAATGGCATTCGGTAATTTCATTCAACGATAGGGCTGATTTCACGGTTCTAGAGTAAATTTTGAAAAATTTATAAGCACTAACTTCTCCGAGCACGGAGGCTGAGGGGTTTTGAGAAGTGGCACCGGAAAAGCATGGCGAACTTTATTGGCTACACTACGCTTTATCCTTAACTTTTGAGAAAGGCTCGACTCTCCCTTCTCTTCAACCATTTTCGTGTTTTATGGCAAATAAAGCGTCCAGTTTGATGTAGTTTCTCTACAGCTCTGCAGCTTCCACAGCGTTTCTCTGTCCACACTGTCGAAGGCCTTCTCATAGTCTATGAAGTTGATGTAGAGGGGGGAGTTCCACTCCAGCGACTGCTCCACTATGATGCATAGACTGGTGATCTGGTCCGCACATGATCTGTTTCTGTGGAAGCCAGCCTGCTGGTCTCTGAGCTTGGGGTCGACTACCTCTATCAAACTCTCCAATTAAACTCTGTTGAGCACTTTGCCTGGCACTGACAGGAGTATGATCCCTCGGTAGTTGTTGCAGTCCCTGAGGTCTCCTTTCTTGGGCAGCTTGATCACGATACCTTCTTTCCACTGAGCCAGTACCTCTTCCTTCTCCCAGATCTTGCTGAAGAGGCCGCGTTGGATGTTGGTCGCCGTTTCCATGTCTGCTTTAATGGCCTCTGATGGTATCTTGTCTGGTCCTGCCGCTTTCCCATTTCTCAGTGTCATGATGGCCTTCTTGATCTCTGCTTTTGTAGGCTTGTCACAGCTGATGGGTAGTTCTATCTCTGCTGGTGGGATGTCGGGTAGTGTTTCAGGGGCGGAATGGTTCAGCAGCTCCCTAAAGTGCTCTGTCCATCGCCTCAGCTGTTCCTCGGTTGTCGTCAGTGGGTCTCCATCTTTATCCTTCACTGGCTTGTCTGTCTGCTGGAATTTACCCGACAGCTTCTTGGTTACCAGGTACAGGTCTTTGAGGTTCCCCTGTCTGGCTGCTTCCTCTGCCTGACTGGCCAGGTTTTTGATGTAATCCCTTTTGTCCTTCCTAATGTTCCTCTTCACTTTTTCCTCTTTTTCCTTGCCTCTAACTTCTGGATGGTGTCAGCAGAGATCCATTCCTTATGTTGGGTCGCCTTCTTGCCCAGAACTTCTTCTCATGTATTGTGCCAGAGTTTCTCGTTTTTTACCAATTAACCCCTTTACTCCCTTGAGCGACCAAGACTGAATTTCTCCTTACAGGCACAATACAGTATCAAGCAAACAAATGAAGAGAGTAAAGGGAAATGTAAATTACGAGATTTGTTGATTCTATACTAATTTCTCCGCTGTAACATCCTATAAATTGTATGGCAGACTACAGAGAATTACTTCGAATTACCAATGAGATCTTTGGCGTGGAAGTGTCAAAAGCAAAAGTATCACATCACCCACGCGATTGTAGTTTGTGCCAGGGTCTAAGCTTCACGTAAGCTCGTTTGCCACTTGTTTGCAGTGTCAGGTCTTTGCTTCTCCCGGAAAAAAGGGGGAAGGAGCGCAGGCTCACATTCCCGAACAACGGCCGGTAATTGAGCCTAAGCTACTCGGGAAACGAGCACAACAACAGGCGAGTGAAAAGCAACGGAGTCGGGAAAAGAATAAATGCAAGACGAATGCTATTCGGCGCGGAGGCTATCCAGTGCGCTGCACGATTGTCCTGATGCTCTCGTTTCGCCTATGCGAAAAAAGAAAAGACAAAACAACAAAAACAACAACCGCTGATGACAGTGTTCGGAAGTTGGAGCCAATTCCCAACAACCGCAACTCCTTTTTGATTTTGCTTAAAACTTGGCCGGGAACAAGTTCGTTTCTTTCTTACGTCATCCTATAAGATAAGGTATTCCAATGAAGTAAATTTTTCTCGTCGACAATAACAAATGTCTCTCAGTCTCTTTAGAGTGAGTCCTTCACAGTCCTTCTCTTTCAAATCAAGAGTTAGATCAGAAAAATTAGTCGGGTGATGTGATGTTTCTTTGGCGAGATCATGGGGTGTGGTGCATCATAAGATAGTTCTGCTCGCTCCAATCGCCCTCCGACTCGCAATTACCACAATAGGGGTAAGCAGTTTCAAATGGCTCTGTCTTCTGACTTCTTTTCCTCCAACCAAATCTTTTATCTCTTCAGGAAACCTCTCCTCCTGTGCTTGTTTCACCCACAGTTTTCCACCTTTGTCTATTTAAATTGGCGTCAATGTAAGTCCGGTCCTGGTAACAACACCTAAAGGTTTGCCTTGTTTCGTCAGTTTGGCCAACAACAGATCAGCAAAACGTCTCACCCATGCTGTGACTCTTCTAAGTCGGTTCCAACTGGAATACTTTAGTGGATTCATCAACGGTTGTGAAATCTGTAATGCAAAGGTCATCTTCGGTTTGACTATATCAGCTAGACATTCTTCTGATCGCTCTTCAAACACTATGCATTTTCCTTGAGGCCAGGCATCTTCATACTCACTCAGGAATTCAGGTCCACTAAACTAGCGATGCTCACTTGTCAGCACCTTCGCGTGTAGCCCGCGAGTTGCATCTCAGCACAGTTCAAATCTGTGGGAACATGTCGCCACTGTCTGGGACTTGACTTCTGATGGATCTCTGGTATTTCGTTGGCAACAAAAGTCTTATACCTTCTCGACTGGCCGTGGATATAGAAAATGACGTCCTCGCTGTCTTTCCACAGTGTACAGTTCTCAAAAGGTATCTGTAACAGCTCTGACACTTTCCTCGCCAGTCTAGGACCTAACACTGCCGCCATTAGCCCTAACCTCGGAACTGATGGCGCTTTCGTAGGTGCGACCTTCGCTTTCGCTGCAATAAATCGCACAGTCACTTCTCCATCCGCATATTTATGCCGCACGTAACTTACAGCTGCATAGGCCAACAATGATGCATCCACCATAGTATGGATAGAGGTGTCTGCAACAATTTTCTCAGCAACACGATAGCACCTTGGAACTTGGACTCCAGAAAGTTCAGGTAACTGACTAAACCACTTTTGACCAGTCTTCTTCGAGTCACTGGGGAACTCGTCATCCCAACATAAACCCAGTAACCACGTCTCTTGCATAGCCATCCTGGCCCTAACTGTGAATGGTGCTAGCATCTCTAATGGGCCAAACAGCATGGCTAGTTTCTTTAAAAAACCTCGCTTGGTGTAGACAACATCCTGCGGGGGGTTCAATTTGAAGGTAAACATATCCGTCTCAACATTCCATTGCACCCCTAACGCCTTCATGCAAGGTAGTTCAGACTCCTCAATGTTAACATTCACCACACGATCTTCCACAGGAACATCTCTAAGTACCTTTGGCCTGTTACTACACCAACGCCGTATTTTAAAGCCTGCCTTACCAAGCAGCTCTCTAGGCTGTTCTCGAGCTTTAATCGCTTCATCGTCCGTCTCCAATGAAGTCATAATGTCATCCGTGTACATTTGTAATAGGATAATGGTTACTGCTAATGGGTAGTTATCTCTGTTATCTTCTGCATGTTGTCGCACAACGTACTGGGCTAAGTAAGGTGAAGCACGATCACTAAACATTAATCTCATCGCTTCATAGACTTCGGGAGGTTTTGAGAGGTCTAGGCCTCCCCACAGGAAGCGGTGGTACCGTCTGACTTTCTCCGCTATGGTGACCTGTGAGAACATTTCCGTCAGATCTGCAACCAGGGCTACCGGATTACTGCGGAAACGCAATAGCACATCAAAGACATCTTGCTGCAGTTTTGGTCCAAGCAACATGGTATCATTAAGGCTCACTCCGCCGTATCTGGCGGCTGAATCGTACACTATCCTCACTTTGGTAGTCTCTTTGTCTTCTCTTACTACAGGAAAATGGGGTAGGTACCAACTTGGGCCATTGTCAATTTCTCCTGGCTCCAGTTTCCAGATGTAACCCTTGGCCTCATTTGCTTCCATCACCTGACAATATTTCTCAGCAACGTCCGTTGTAAGTGCTTCTTACAACGAGAGAGTAGAGCCGGTCCTCAGCAATAATCCTGTTGCAATACAACGGCGGTTCATCGTCCTGCCATGGAATTGCCACTTCATAACGCCCCTTGGCATAACACCTTGACTCTGCCACCTTGCGCGTAGTCAAAAGCTTGTTTTTATTAGTGATCCCCACCACTTCTTCATCCCACATCTTCCGCATCAATTCGTCGGCCCTCATTTCCGGAGTAAAGGTTGTATGGAATGTGTAGACATGGTTAGCAGTATTACCCTCGTTTGCTGTTTCTGAGACATGTCCAACAATTTTCCATCCGAGTGGTGTCTTTACCGCTACAGGCCCCCCCCCCCGCTTTCCTATGCGATGTTCAAGTGGTAGAAGAAGTTCCTCATGACTTCTCCATGTTCGACTGGCTTTTCTATCTCTAAATCACGAAGATGGTCTAGTTTCCAATCAACTGCTGTCATTTCACAAATTTTGGGGGTTGTCCACAGAAATACACACTTCTTAACACTCCCATCTATACTTTCTAGGCGCACAGTTACAGTTTTGCTATCTGTCACAATTGAATTT